AAAATAGCATTTTTCTGCTGGCCGCTGAGCAGCAGGTTGCTTCCAGGCTCAACGTTTCTAAGACAGCAGTACACAAGAACAAGGTGAAGCAGAATACATTGGCAGTAACAAAAAAACAGCCTGGTAAAGGGAAGAAGCGACTTCCTAATGCCAGAGATGAGCATCAACTTATCTGGCAGTGCCTCATAAATTGGAGAATGACCTCAAGTGACCTTCAAAAAGAATGGGAAACATTAAGTGGTGTGAAGTGCACTGCTAGGACAGTTCATAACAGGCTCCTAGAAGCAGGACCCATAAAGCAAGGAAGATACTCTTCATCAATGAGAAACAGGAATGAAGAGCCAGGAATGAAGTGCCAAGAACGAAGAGCCAAGAACGAAGAGCCAAGAACGAAGAGCCAAGAACGAAGAGCCAAGAACGAAGAGCCAAGAACGAAGAGCCAAGAACGAAGAGCCAAGTTGGAGTTTGCAAAAAAAATGTATATTTTACACAGACGCATACCCATAATTTGAGAGATGAGTGAAATAGAAAATTTTGCTGTTGCCTCTTTCCAGAGTTTTATATTCTAAATGACTGATAAGGATGGGTAATGTCAGGACCTCTCTCTGCACCTTACATAGCGCTGAACAGCCAATGGATCACTTCTGTCACTTCGGAACATGCTGGCCTTCCTGGAGACCAGCACGCCAATCCGCCCATACGACACGACACGGGCTTCCCCATCTGGTAATTCCCGCTGCACAAAGGAGCTGTCATTTCTAGAACGGGAGATAACATTCAATTCGCAGTCAGTCACTGTTACCTTAGGTGGGCAGAACAATGTTTGGGAAGCAAAACATGCTTTAAAAATAGCCCACGGGCCAAAATCGGGGGTGTTGATCAAAAATAAACTTTCCACTGGCAACGACAAGCAGTCAGTCTGCATGGGAGGCTGCTCTTCAGTAGCTGGGGAGGGGGGATGACAGCTATGCTCGGATCCTCCTCGGAACCAGAAACTCCCACTGCAGTCACAAACTCTATAACCTGTTACAGGTTTGCAAAACAAAAAAAATACCATTGAAAATAATTCCATTTGAACTTAAGATAACACTCTACTTAAGGGGGCACAAATAATGTAGTAGTAGACTCTTAATCAGGGATTGAATTACACAGTGTTTTTTGGGGGAGCCCTAATTTCCGGTGCACGCCACGACTTCCCAAGTTACATGCACACGCATACATAAAAGTAAGTAGTAATAACAGAGTTACCACAAAAATAATTCTACTATTACTACTTCAGGCAGTAATATATATATATATATATATATATATATAATTTCAGAAATCCTTGATGTATGTAAAATAAAATATATGTCCAATTATGTGAGTAATTCATCTTTCAAAAAACTGTCTCAGGAGACATTGCATTCAGCCAATTGAAAATGCAGACAGAAGAGAATTAATATACATTGAAATTATAAAATGAACGTTATGGTATCCAGATGGGGACTATAACCCCATATAAAGTCATATGGTCCAAGTCGGGTCCAATTTTCACGTATTTGCCATCAAATCCAAATCAAATCCAAGTCTTTCCATCAGTTTTGCCGAGTCGACTCACAAGCCATCAAATTAGTGACTCCAGTCCCAGAGTTAGTGACTCAAATCCCCACCTCTAGTAGATAGACCAGCGCATGACCAACAAGCAACAGATAATCAGCTAATCTAGGTTTTAAAGTCTTATTTATTTCTGTTTGACACCTGGTCATACATAAACACCAACGTCCATCGTGGTGTGGCAGTTTGAGGATCATGCATCACGTAGGTGCCCTTCCAGTGATACAGGAGGCCTGACAGCCTCCTGTCCTTCTTTCTGTGCTCTTCAGCCTCTGTGGCACCATCTTCATGGAAAGTGTCACTTTCACTGGCCTCCTGTTGCATCACCATTATTGGCACAGGACAGACTTCAAATAGGGGAGGATTACTGCCCATTCAGGTGATTAAACAAAACACACGGGCAAATGGGCTTGGAGTGACAAGGCTTTGGAATAGTGCCTAAGGGCTAAGGGTGACAGACACATGGCACTGAGTGACTGCTGATTGTCACACAAATGTACGTGGAAGCTCTGTCCCTGTAGGAAATGTGTAGCTGTGGGAGAAAAACCAGCAACATGGGGACTGGGTGGCAGACTACAGGAGTTTGTAGGTAAGCTGAGGAGGGCAAATTTCACATGGATGTGGCCCCCTGGTAACATGCCCAAATACCAGCATGTGTCCGAGTATCATGGGGGCCTCTACAAGATTCACAGATACACTACATGGGCAAAAGCATTGGGCCACACCACTTAATCATTGAATTCAGGTATTTTATTCAGAACCATTACCACAGGTGCATAAAATAGTAAAGCAAAATAATAATAGTAAAGTGTAAAGTAACAGAGCGGGTCGCCGAGTGCTGAGGCGCATAGTGCGTGAGTCACCAATGCTTTGTTGACTCAGTAACTGCAGAGTTCCAAACTTCCTCTGGATTTAACCCCAACACAAAAACTGTGGGCCGGGAGCTTCATGAAATTGGCTTCCATAGCTGAGCATCTGCATGCAAGTCTCACATCAGCAAGGGTTTGGTGGATGAAAGATATTGGTATAGGGTTGTTTTTCAGGGGTTGGGCTCGGCCACTTAGTTTCAGTGAAGATATTTCTTAATGCTTCAGCATACCAATACATTTTGGACAATTCTATGCTTCCAGGCTCTGTGGGAACAGTTTGGGGAAGGACCTTTTCTGTTCCAGCATGACTGTGCTCCAGTGCCCAACGCAAGGTCTGTAAACACATGGTTGGGTGAATTTGGAGTGGAAGAACTTGACTGGCCCACACACAGCCCTGACCTCAACCCCATGAAACACCTTTGGGATGAACTAGAATGGAGATTGCGAGCAGATTGTGAGCCAGGCCTTCATGTCCGAGATCAGTGCCTGACCTCACAAATGCTCCTCTGGATGAATGGACAAAAATTCCCACAGACACACTCCTTCCCAGAAGAGTGGCAGCTGTTATAGCTGCAAAGGGGGGACCGACTCCTTATTGATGCCTATGGATTTAGAATGGAATGTCATAAAAGTTCCTGTAGGTGTAATGGCCAGTTGCCCTAGTACTTTTGTCCATATGGTGGACCTTTTACTTACTGAAGGATCTGCACTGTTACCAGGGAAAAGCTTTGACTATGTACAAGAAGTGTCCCACGTAGAAGACTGAGCATCAAACGGAGAGTCAGAAGCTGGATATCAAATCCCTAGCAGACCTTGGAATGGATATGGCTGCATCTCCGTTTGATCTTCGATGTGTCTTCCACCCTTTGGTTTGTCAAACCTGCCAGTGTGGTCCTTAGAATGGCCCACAGTCCCTAACAGTCTCTCGTATCCCTTCCCATCATGCATCACACAGACATTGGGGCAACACTGAGAATGACACAATCTGCCCTGCTGCTTTAACACTGATGTGTCCCCCTTTCCGTAAGATCATGAACATACAATGAAAATGTCACTCTTATTGTCATTTTTTACACTGTCTGCTTACTTAATCTCTTTGTCCATCTTTGTATTACACCTTGCCTCTCTTGCTCCACCAGGCAGCCACAATTAAAGTCTTTATTCACTGATACACGAGATTAAATATCATCCACTAGTGTCCTCACGTTCAAAGAGTTCTTATCAGCAGAATAAGAAGGGCAGCCCTAGGGAGGAAGCTGACATAGTGAACACGTTCGCTAACCATGACAGTCACAATAGACTCCTAACCAGCCTGGGCTTCTGCCTCTAAAGGGATGCCTTCATTATCGAAGAGATAAAGGTACACGTGTATCCGTAATGGATACCTTAAGCCCGAGGCTGTGACTGGACCAGTGAAACGAGCAGACCAGGGCTTTAAAAAAGGTTTACTTCTTTAATACTAACAAATGTCCAGTTCTGACTTTCGTGACCCTCTCCTATTTTAACTTTTGAGGCCGCAGTTATTTACATACGTATACAGGCTAATTGCAGCGTGAAAACGAAATGCTGTAATCAACAGTTTAGTGTGCGTAATCATTCATTCGGTGTGAAATGAAAAAGCCATTCGCTACAGCTCACGTCAGGAATACAGCAAACTGGTGCAGATTAGGACGATTGCCAAGTCTCACTAGACAGACAAGCAACCTCACCCATGAAAAGTAGCCGAAAATAAGCGCACTGTGCAAAGTAAAATGGAGAAATCAAGCCCAAAATACATGAGAGTTTGTCCTGTGTTTGCCATATGATCTGCGTTCCTTGTAAATATAATATGCACTACAACAGTAACTGAAATACAGGAAGCGTGGTTCTAAAGTTTTACTTTATCATTTTCTTTTGTTGGTGTGACAGTAAATAACTCCTTATGGCGAGCCATAAGCCAAATACAGTATGGTCCTTTGTAGCACTTTTTAAACAGATGATTGAATACTGAACTCATAAATATAACGACGCTAAGAAAATATTTGTGAGTGAGAGATGCAAAATTATGTGATATATCTGAATAAAAAGAACTCTTACTTAACCTTTAACTATTCATTCAATATCAAATTCTGGCCCAAAATTACATTTAAATGAAGTAATGTAAAATGATGTAGATTCTTTAAGTTAACTGAGCTGGTCAAAATGGCTGAAACTATGCAACATGAAATTAATTACGAATATTAAATGAATAATGAATTAACGTGTGAATCAGAAGAAAAAAGCGGCAATACATCAACTTTTAAAAACCTTAAAAACACAGTCGGGACACCGTTTTGTGTTTATTCACCCCGTTTCATGAATAAATAGCGTTGCACTGGAGAATCAAAATACAATATACGGTATGGACAGTATGATAGTACGAAAAGTAAGTAAGATTACGACTAAGATTCAGGGAAAAGCCTGAAATCGCTTATAATTAGCGGACTGGTCAGCATACCAGGACGCCTTTCAGACCCGTCAAAGAAGCAGATACTAGTATGTAGTCGATAGGCGGCGCCTTGCTGGAAGTGCATCACGCCTCCTCCTGCATCATTGGCAAGTGCAGCTGAGGCGGAGATTCTGCACAGTACATAAGGTAAAACTTTGCGGGGGTTAGACGCTTCCTGAATTTAGGAATCTCTTCTAAATAAAGTTTTTAGGAGTCACAGGAAAGGAACAGCCTTGTTTTCTCTTACACTTTTGTGGAGCGTCAGCATCATCTATACTGCCCTTATCGGACTGCGTAAATTCAGACGGGTGTCCATTCCCTAAGTAGCGCGGAGCGATGTCTCCAGCCGAGAAGAACAAGACCACCGTCCGCCTGGTGTTCTTCGGCGCGGCGGGGGTGGGCAAGACCGCCTTGATCCGGAGGTTTCTGCAGGACAATTTCGAGCCCAAGCACAAGCGCACTGTGGAGGAGCTGCACAGCATTGAGCACGACCTGGACGGGACCAAGATGCGCATCGAGATCATGGACACCAGCGGTAGTTACTCCTTCCCGGCGATGAGGCAGCTCTGCATCCGCCAGAGCGATGCTTTCGCCCTGGTCTACTCTATCAACGACCCCGAGTCCTTCGAGGAGGTGCACAGGCTGCGGGAGGAGATCCTGGAGCTGAAGGGGAGCAAGCTCGCGCCCATTACCGTGGTTGGTAACAAAGCCGACCTGGGAAACCAGCGCCGGGTTCCCGCGAAGGAGAGCATGACCATCGTAGAGCTGGACTGGAGCGCCAGCTTCGTGGAGGCGTCCGCCAAGAGCGGCTTGAACGTCGCGGGAGTTTTCGAGGAGCTGTTGAGGCAGGTGAACTTCCCTAGCAGCCTGAGCGCGGCGCTGCGAGGGCGCAGGGGTACTGTGCCCAAGGACGGCGTTCTGGTGCGCAAAAAGCCGCTCATAAAGAAGGCGGACAGCTGCACCGTCTCCTAGCCGAGAACTGCAGCTCTGCCTCGCAAGGTGTCCGGTTGAAATCATGACTGGAGCACGACGTGAATACAGGGAGAAACGGCGTGGAAGGTGCCCAGCCTGCTTCATCTTAGCTCCGACTTTTTTCCAAAAGGCGCATGGAATAGATTGGGCGCTGCACCAACTCAGCACAGAGCTAACTCTAATGTAAATATGAAGTGCTTGTTAATATATCGATTGTACAGTTTTTAACCATGTTGAGTTTTGCCGAGGCTGTGAGGAGTAATTAAAATGAACTTATTTAGGTGCGTGATAAATTGAAACTTCGGAGTTAAATTGCTCAGATAACTGCATATGTTAAATGTGGTTGATATGCATCTTGGAATTTACAGCCGCACGGTTTAATAGCATCAGCGTTTACTTTCAAATTATCATGCAAGTAATACGATCAGGCCATGCATAAGATTGCCTTTGGTAAGAAGAGAGTTCAGTTCAATGTAACGTATTTTTATACAGCGGCTCGCATAACAACGTCGCCCCAAGGTGCTTTACATGAGTGTGTTGTGTTACATTATACAGCAGTGGTGGGCAATCTTATCTGCAAAGGCCCAGTGTGTATACCGGTTTTCGCTGTAACTCCCTAATTATATAAATTAGACTAATTTGAGGACTTATTGGCTGAAGAGTCCTCACACATGGGTTTGAACAGCTGACCTAAAGGGTATCCCAAAAACGTATACGCACACACTGGCCCTTTGCTTATGATTGCCCACCCCTGCATTACGTCATTAAGACCGTACAATACAATAACAGGGAAAAGGAAAACAAACATATAGTTCATCTTAGCATTTCAGTAGTTGTTAGTTGCAAAGTTGTCTTGAAATCGGTTTGTTTAGTCGCTCCCAATTGACTGCACGTTGCACGGCCTGAGCATCGATGCATGTCGCCAGACCTGGGAGCTATTCCGCCCTCTAGTGGTTTTCATGGTTTGTTACAGTCGAAAATGCCTGGAACTGAACAAAGCTGGTGATGGAATATCAGCTAATTGTTCTCTTACATTTAATATAATATCGAGACAGGTGGGGGTAGGTTTCTCCTGGTTCAGGAGCCAGAATCCAATCTGATGTATTTTTGCAATTAATTTACACTCGTTTTTGTCTTTTTTTGTCTTTAATCATATTCACTGTATACTTATATATTTTAATAGTGTAAGTATTTTGCATTCATGAACAGTCTTCTAACAACTGTGATGTTAAACATATGTCTTTCAGTGCAGTACAGACAGCAGCCTGCCAGGGGGGTGTAAAACATTTAGTCTAAAATCTAATTGCCTGCTACTGAAACCTTACACTTGACTGAGAATAATGCTGCTTTTTTTATCAACACACTGGATGATTCAATAATAAAAGAATAAACAGAAAAGGTGCGGAGTTTGGTCAATGCATCGATAAAACATCTTCAATTTTAGGGGGACACACCCCCTCCCCCGATAAATCGAGGATCAAGGATTTTTCATTGTGCAGGTGGGTTACACAAGATGTTTAGTGGCTGCCTCTGCAACAACATAACACACACACACACACACACACACTATTTTCACAGAAGTATGGGGACGCCTGGCCATTACACCTACAGGAACTTACAAATGACATCACATTGTAAATCCACAGGCATCAATATGGAGTTGGTTCCCCCTTTGCAGCTATAACAGCTGCCACTCTTCTGGGAAGGCTTTCCACAAGATTTTAGTGTGTCTGTGGGAATTTTTGCCCATTTATTCAGAAGAGCATTTGTGAGGTCAGGCACTGATATTGGGCATGAAGGCCTGACTTGCAATCTGCTCACAATATCTATTCTAGTTCATCCCAAAGGTGTTTGATGGGGTTGAGGTCAGGGCTGTGTGTGGGCCAGTCAAGTTCTTCCACACCAAACTCACTCAACCACATCTTTATGGACCTTGCTTTGTGCACTGAGGCACAGTCATGCTGGAACAGAAAAGGTCCTTCCCCAAACTGTTCCCACAAAGCTGAAACCGTAGAATTCTCCAAAATGTCTTGGTATGCACACACACAATCAAGCACGCAAAGATAAGATAGATAAGTTTTCTTTATTGTCATTATACCTTTTAATGCATTCACATGTAACAAATATCAGTTAACAGGAGGGGGGAAAGCTACAAATTAAAGTACTAAAAAGAAAATATCATTACATATGTGCAAGTATATTTGTGTGGTTTTGTATCTATAAATAGAATGTATAATTGTTGTAATCTGAATAGCAGCTGAAATACGGTACTCCAGGATATTGCACAATGATGCCTGGATTACTGTTAATGTAATAGGATATATATGTATAAAAAGTGCAAATAGAAACATAGATATAAATATGATCATAGATGTAAATATGTAAGCACAGATCAAATACATACACGCAATCAAATTCATAAACATAAATACACTAGTACAGTGCGTTCAGATTAATTTTCATTAAGCTCAGACCCCCCTTCTCATAAATCGCTAGTGACGCAGCTGGTTTACACGTAGTCCAAATGACAGCTGTTTGGGTGGGAACAGACCCTTTAAATCCAAGGCATTTAACTTTAAGGCTCCCATGGTGCCTTGGGGAGCAGGCCTGCGATTCAAATCGGGAGGACCAATCAGGCGGCGTCTCACCGAACGGAGCAGGATTTGAAATCCTTCGGCTTGCTCGCGGAGGGGGAGATACCATGGAGACGGGCAGCGTGAAGGACAGATGATTATGGCGATTTGTTTATATACATTTTTTGCACATAATGTAATTCATTTTGATAAAGTTTAAACTATCGTTGTGCCACTTTACAGTCATGCATGTATAAAAAAAAATATTGAAATAATCTGATTTTATAAACTAGAGATTAATTAGTACTATTGGAGTTAGCTAGCTGGCTAGCCGGTCGTTTACTAAAGCTGGATAAAACTCAAAAGGTCTGTAGGCTGTGTCGAAATAGTTTTTAAATATATATATCAGGGAAAACGTGAACTTTGAAAATGAGTGCAGGGGTAAAGGCGCCGGCGCACGTCGACCCCAGGTCTGCTCCTCTGAAAGAGGTCCCCGAGGTGCTGGTGGACCCGCGGAAGATGAAGCGTTACCGGCGGGGAAGGTTCCTGGGCAAGGGTGGCTTCGCCAAGTGCTACGAGATCACGGACATGGACACGGGCGAGGTGTTCGCCGGGAAGGTGGTCCCCAAAGCTTTACTGCTGAAGCCCAGCCAGAAGGAGAAGATGTCCATGGAAATCGCCATCCACAAGAGCCTCGACGACCCGCACGTTGTTGGCTTTCACGGTTTCTTCGAGGATGAGGATTTCGTCTTCGTGGTTTTGGAGATGTGCCGGCGAAGGGTGAGTGGGAGCTGATGAAATGTAAATGTATGTATGTATGTATATTTACAGAAAGGCGAATTCAGAGTGAGTGTGTTAGGTTTCAAATGTAGCTCTGAAACTTGGCAGTTTTCCAGCCGAAGTCTTGGTGTTTTACACGTCGCTAATCCTGGACCGTATGTTCACTTTGGAGGGACATGAAAGCTGTTAGTTTAGCCATCCAGCTGACGACTCCTGTACAGTTTTGACATTCCTTAGACCATTTCTGTTCTGACGTTACTTCTCAACATCAGTTTACTCGCCTGCTCCTTACAGGGATTCTTACTGGCGCACGCGGATGACGTGTAGAACTCGATTTGTTTAGCTCAGATTCCTTGAGGTGCACAATACTGCTCTGATTAACAACACGGCCTTTGATTCTCTTTCAGTCTCTCCTGGAGCTGCACAAGAGAAGAAAGTCGGTTACAGAGCCAGAAGCTCGATACTACATGCGGCAGACAATCCAGGGCTGCCAGTATCTTCACAACAACAGGGTCATTCATCGTGACCTCAAGCTGGGCAACTTGTTTCTCAATGATGACATGGAGGTCAAGATAGGTGCAGTCCCTGTTTTGGCACCTTTATCCAGCCTGTTTGCATTCGGTCCAGATAAATGTGACTGAGCTGAGTTTTCCTTTACTGCAGGTGATTTTGGGCTAGCTACGAAGATTGAGTATGATGGTGAGAGGAAGAAGACTCTGTGTGGAACACCCAACTACATCGCCCCGGAGGTTTTGTGCAAGAAGGGCCACAGCTTCGAGGTGGACATATGGTCACTAGGCTGCATCCTGTAAGGGCGGGCGGGTTGATAACGGATCTCACTTCCAGTGACTTGATTTTTAGTTATGTAGTCTGCTTTATATATGACAGACAGGGAGTAAAAGTCCAGACCAAGATTTTGTTTCAACCAACCAGTTGAGCATAAAGAGTCACAGAGTACTCAACTGATTGGTTGAAACAAAATCCCGGTGTAGACTTTTACCCTCTGGAACTTAATTACTCAATTCTGATGAAAGAAGTCTCTCCCTGGAACCATCATCATTTATGGTTGCCTCATAGGTACACACTGCTGGTGGGAAAGCCTCCCTTTGAGACGTCCTGTTTGAAGGAGACGTATATCCGTATCAAGAAGAACGACTACACTATTCCCAGGGTGAGAACATAAGATATTTACAAATGAGAGGGGGGGCATTTGGCCCATCAAGCTCGTTTGGGGAGAACTTAACTCTGCTCTGAACTGCTGCTGTATATCACCCTTATATGTTGAGTTTTGCCATACTCTGTGAAGATTAGTCCCAGGTCCTCTTTAGGCTGGTTTTAGTGCCTAAACCAGAGGTCAGGAACCTTTTTAAAGCAAAGACCCATTTTATCCTAAATGTCTGACCCAAGATTTTCAAAGAGCTGCAATGGATTGAGAAGAGGGTCTGAGATACGATTTTTTAATGCGGTATGGGTACATATGCATTTAACACAAAAAAACCTGAAGTACTTAAAAAAAAAAAAAATAAAGAAAAAGAATTTCGGGGGGCATCTTAGTTTTAAATCACTCGGACGAGTAAGGTGAGTAATATCACAGTATCGTTCAGGTCTGTAGCGAGTCTTCACCATCACCCCTTCTTTCTGCGTAAAGTTTGTGTTGCTCTGCAGTCGTTTGGCCTTCGCTATCCACTTCACTACTTGTAACTCTTTTGACCAAGCAGTGCAAAATGTCTTCATCACTCCAAACTCAGCTGGATATAATATGTAAATCGGAGAAAATAAATAATAACGAAGACCTAGGAAGGCATGACGATATACTACAGAAAGTATATGAAAGAATTGGGAATCCCAATAAACTTTGAAGTGTACATCCAATCTCAGGTACTAAAGAAAACATACCATTTGACTGCAGACATACGCTTGTCGTAGAGAATGACTTTGTGGAAGATGTAAATTATACAGTTAAGACATCATAGAAGCGCGTGACAGACCGCCTCATTAACATATAGATAAAGAAATATCTAAATGAAAAATATTATCCCATGAATAAATGATTTATATTAACGAAAGTATTATCATAATATGTTAAGACGTGAAAATGTGAATGCGTCTATCGTTCTGAGAAGAGCCGCAGCCTCGTGCTCAGAGCCGAAGGTTGCCGATCCTTGGCCTAAACCCTTAAATGTGAACTGGCCCTTTAAAAGCTATTTAAATGTGTAAAAGCGACTGGGGCTCAGGAGATGGCTTTGTTGGTCTGTTCATTAAGCAGCTATGTGACCCCGCTCCATGTCCTCAGCACATCAACCATTTAGCGACGGCTCTCATTCGCCGGATGCTCCACCCCGACCCCTCAAAGCGGCCCGCCATTGGCGACCTGCTTGCGGACGACTTCTTCACGTCGGGCTACACGCCCCTGCACCTGCCCACCAGCTGTCTCACCGTGCCGCCCCGTTTCTCCATCGTCCCCAGCGCTCTGGAACCGAGCTTCCGCCAGCCCCTCACCGCGCTCAACAAAGGTCCTGTCCCGCCCGCTTCCTGACTGCTTCATTTCATTACCGTATGACCTCACGGGATGCTCATTTGCCCCTTTTTTTTTCCCTCCCCACGGTCCTCCAGGAACGGAGAGTCCCTTAGAGAAAATGGGGAAGCTGGAGCCCAAGGAGGATCTGCAGCCAAGGTAAAGCTGAGCCCTCCTGAGATGAACTTCCTTTTCCTCCTCCTAACGTAGCCTCTGAATTCCTTACCCCCCCTACAAGGCCTATAACCATATGTCCTGCTTCATCTTTAAGGCAGAGGACAATTTCCATAAATGCCTAAATAACTTTGTTGAATGGACATGTTTTTACATTTACATCAATTTTATTTATCAGTTGCTTTTGTCCAAAATGACATTCAAGTGAGGCAAATAGCACATTGCAAACATCAAGGATTCGACTAGGCATAAATGCAGCTAGGCTGAGCTTCCAGTCAATGCCCGGGTACAAGCGTAAGCAGTATTGGAGCAGTATTGCTGCAGAACACCTTCCAAACAAAGCAGGAACCTTGTAAGACAGTTCATTTGTGTTGTGTCCCCGTATATCCTGGTTTTACCTGGTTACCGCGTCATGCTGAAGCACCTGCCCGGTGATCCCACACAGGGACATCGCCGAGATGATCGCCGGTTACCTGTCCGACCTGCTCCAGCAGCTCAGCAGCGTTGACATATCCAAGCCGTCGGACCGGGCGCTGATCCGGCAGGGTGAGTGAAGGACCATGGATGGCATCGCTGCTCCGAGCGCCACGCGTCCTAAACGCCACTGCTCTCCCCACAGAGGAGGCGGAGGATCCCGCCTGTGTTCCCATTTTCTGGATTAGCAAGTGGGTCGACTACTCGGATAAGTACGGTCTTGGTAAGTCACGTCCCGCGTGTCCTGGTTCACAAAGTGGCCGAAAGTAGCTTTTATTTAGGAAAACAGCCGACTCCTAAGCTAAGAGTAACACTGTCGCTTTGGCTGACGTCAGTTCTCATGCACGAGCTTGCCTGCAATAACCACGTGGTGAAAATGTGTGTGCAACATCCCATAAACACAAATATAGTGGAAACCACTTATAGTGATCATGGTTATAGTGATCAACTACTTATATGGATCAAAAAGCTTGGGACAGAATCATTCCTGTACAAATACTGTTCAAATAATTCGCTTATTGTAATCAAGCAGTCTGCTTAGTGTTCATTTTTGTTATTTTTAAACATGACATCATATGGAAAAAAATTTAAACTACAATATTTTGTTTTTGTTTTTTAACTTTACTTTGCCTTGTGGTAACCCATCTGCTTCTGGCTAGCTACCTGAGGCTAATGCTGTGTGCATTGAATTCATGATGGGGGGGGGGGAGTTTTCTCTCTGTGACAAATAGACTCATCAAAGCTTATGATAAACTGAGCCACCGAGATGCAGCAGGGAAACTACAATAAGCTATATTTTATGTACTGTACTCTATTATTGCGTATTTGAATTATACACAGTTCACTAACTTGAAAAGCATTTGAAACAGCTGTACTGTATTTTGAACTAATTAATTCAATTCAGTAAAACACTGTCCGTTTTATTACCTTATTCATGTAATAAATATTCAAATGTCAATTAGATGGTAATCTGCCTGAGACATAAAAAAAAGAGAAAAATCAGTTATAATGATCACTATAAGTGGTTTGTGAATCGGTCTTAGTGACTTAGGAGTCCTTTCTACTACTTTTTGGTTCTCCTAGACTTAGGTGCTACTTTCAGCGCTAAGGGGCTTTCTGAATTGCTCTTAGTCAAAAAAAAATAATTAGGAGTCGTACATTTAGGACTGACTGGGCCATAAGTTTTAGGAGTTTCTCGTAAATCGGCACGTTAGGAGCTACTTTTGGCCTTAAGATGCTTCGTGAATACGGGCCCTGTGCTTGCGACCACCCCACAGGATACCAGCTGTGCGACAACAGCGTGGGCGTGCTCTTCAACGACACTACGCGGCTCATCATGTACAGTGACGGGGACAGCCTGCAGTACATAGAAAGGAACAGCTGCGAGTCCTACATGAACGTCCGCTCCTACCCTTCGGCCCTGGCTAAGAAGGTGGGCGTCCACTGTGCCTCACTCCCCAGGGTCACCGAGCAGATAATGTAGTTTCTGCAATATGTGTTTGTTGGTTTGTTTGTTTTTCAACTTGCAGTTCCAGCAGAGATGTTTTTAACAATGTTCCGTATTTATGATCGTTAACGCTGCCCCAGCATCGCTCGCTAACACCTCTGGCTACCTTCTAACCTCCTTGTCCCCGCCCAGATAACCTTGCTGAAATATTTCCGGAACTACATGAGCGAGCATCTGCTGAAGGCGGGCGCCAACATCACACGGCGGGACGGAGACGAGCTGGCCCGCCTGCCCTACTTGTGCCACTGGTTCCGCACCAAGAGCGCCATCGTGCTGCACCTCAGCAACGGCACCGTGCAGGTCAACTTTTTCCAGGTCAGGAGGGGGCAGCCTCTACGCTAACTGGGAACCTCCTATGAAATGCTTATAATCTGCAGATGTGGCTTATGCTAACCGACTGCATGCTTCCAGTGATGTGGTCCAAACCATCATGCTCTCTGCCTGCACACTAACCATGGTGTTCTGATGTTGTTGCACACAGACTACACAATGACAAAATAAGTACGGTATACTGCAATAAAAACGATTTTATAAAACACAGCAAATACAATAAATATACTAATCTTTATTTTATGATGAAGTCTCACAGTGCGATTTAATGTGACAGTAGTGGATGAGATTCAGAACAGTACAGTAAGTATTTCTTAATTACAAGGACATGCCCTCTGCCGCCCCCCCAGGACCACACCAAGCTGATCCTATGCCCCTTGATGGCGGCCGTGACGTACATCGACGAGCGGCGCGAGTTCCGCACCTACAGGATGAGCCTGATCGAGGAGCATGGCTGCTGCCAGGATCTGGCCTGCCGCTTACGCTACGCCCACACCATGGTGGAGAAGCTGCAGGCCTGCAAGTCATCCTGACCCCCCCCCCCCCCACCATCCACAAAAGCCAAAAGGTCGCTACACTAACCTTACCAGGGTTCTTTTCTATGTACTGTATGTACTACGTATGTGAGTTCACTGTTCTGAAAACACTTAATAACCCTTATGGTTTCTCATGCAACTGTTCAGTTGGTAAATTTGGTTGATCAGGGCTGCAGGGTAATGAATCGAATCACGTAAAGGGAGCTGTGTGTGTTTATAGAAGAGAATTTATATCAAATTTCTTTCCAGAAAGTCTTACCATTTTAAATGTTTGTATGTTTCCTGTTTTTAAATGTTTTATCAAATGCTGGAATAAAGCTTAACTTTTTATCAACCTGTTGTGCGACATAGTGCCAGTGTACCAAAGATTAATTCTGGGTCAGATCGTCTGACACCTGAAGTCAAGTGCTGAACAAATTGTGACATTGATGCAGAGCTTTATTTTTCAGATTTAAAATACAGTTGGGTACATACAAATACCGCAGTGAGATACTTCACATGTACAAATCAATTTAAAAACATTAAAACACTTCACCTAAAACACTGGCTAAAAGGACAGAGGTGTGATATCGCAGACACTGGGTGGGCAGAACAATGAGGCGTATTCGTGCATGACCTTGATTTGGGGGAGGGGTCACATACGAAAGGGCATGCAAAGGTGTCTCCGGTGTTGGAACGGTCTGATCCAACATGGCGGTTCAGTGGATCTATTTCCACTATGAAGAACAGTCTGTTTTGGTCAGTAACCTAAAGTAGAGCTGCCAGCAAAGTCAACTGCCATCTGCAAGGCCTGTGTCATCAGCAGCTCACACAGGGAGGGGGGGGGGGCGACACTCTGAGCCTTTACAGCTTGAAAAGAGCCGACCCCCGGCCTGATGGGGCACTGCAAAGTTCAGCTGAAGCCAGGCCGCCCGCCTCTCTGAATATAAACACTGCAAATGCTTCTAGGTGAAGCAGGAAATGCTCAGACTAAGACTAGGCAGACCATCTGTCTCTAGCTTAAAAGCCTAAAATATAAAAAAATAAAACAACTTTTGCTGTACAGTGTCCTTTTCAATCATTACACTCATATCACTGGAATACAGTAGGAATATGTTTCTTTAGTGGTTAAGCGGAAAGGCTCGTACATGTTGTGCCATCGTCATCTACCTCCAAACCTGCTAGAGATATTGTTACCTGAGACCTGGCCTTGTGTTATCTAAGTGTGTGTGTGTGTGTGTGTGTGTCTCTCTCTCCCCGCTTCCTCAGTCCAGGGCCCACTCGCATAGCCACTGCTGGCACTGAACGCTCTGTTCCTCCGTCTCCAAAGGCGAGGCCCTGCTGACGTCCTTCCCCGGCGGCTCTCCCATGGTCTTCAAATCGTTCTCCCGGTCGCACTGGTCCCCTCTGCTCTCAAGCAGGCTCTCCAGGGCGCCCTCCAGTGACTGGACCAAGTGCTGCGGTACCCATTTGGTGTCGAGCGTGGGCAGGAAGGGGTCAGGAGCCGTGACATGGATAGGCTCGCCCTCCAGCGGGACGTCCAGCAGGTAAGCATGCAGCATCATGCGGTAGGGGGCGCTGTCCGTCCGTAGGCTATAGGTGAAGTCCCCCACGATAGGATGCCCAATAGCGCTGCAGTGAACTCGCAGCTGATGAGTCCGACCTGTAATGAAAGGCTGCTCAGGCGTCCTATATTTCAACTCGTTAAACTAGATCTGCTCCTCTTCCATGCTAAAAAGAAATGTATTTTATGGTCTAGGCAGACCAAGAGAACTTCCTCTCAAAAGTCAGATGATTTGTCTATAGAATCCAACCCATTCTACAAAATACTGTTTCTGCTATATGTATTCAGTAGTGACCAGCAGGTGGCGGCAGTACCCTTAAGAGCCGTTCACTAACTGCTGTACCTTTGACATAAACACCTTCCACTCCACTCTTGTGGTTCTGGTGTTTTGGGACTTTCTCACACCTGTCAGTGGCTGCAGCAGGACTTTGGTCACAGGATCGCCGTCGTAGGATCCGTACTCCAGCACGGTGAGTACCGTCTGGCACGGCTTGGGGTTCTCGCATCCTGGGGAAAGGCAACCAACAGCTAGTTATCCTGGAGCACGGAGATGCCGGCACGGCCCCCAGATGGACGGAGGCGAGGCCTTACCCTCGGTTCCCTCGACGCACATCATGTGAGTCCTGCCCTCGGAGGTGTTCTTCCCGATGGCGAAGTCCAGTGTCGTCCTCTTGCGCTCTAGAATGCCGCGCACCTGGATGCCAAACGGGAGTGTGGCCGTTAGCAGCTGTGCGACAGGCATGTGGCGGCACTGACCAGCAGACAGGGAGTGGCCCACCCACCAGCGCGAGATAGGCCTTGGTGACCAGCCGGTCCTTAAAGCAGCGGTAGGCCTGGCCTGCTGCTGCCCGGTTCAGCGCCACACACAGGGCCCCGCTGGTGGAGAAGTCCAGCTGGTGGCAGAATCTGTCAAGGACACAGGGCCCAAAACCCCCAGTCAGGTCTCCTTCATGTATTCAGTGCAGTGAGACCTACCTCTTTAACAACCACCTGGAGTTACGACCGGCTCACTGACCAGGCAGCTTTCTTTATTCAGAGTAAGTAAAAATGGTTACCTGTATTTACAGTATGCAAACCTAAGTAATGTACATTAGAGCTGATTTCCACTGTTTATTAAAGTATACATTGTACTACCATATAACATTATTAAAACAATATCTAAAGATGGCTGACACAAATCCACTACCAGTACAGTACACCTGAAATACCAGTAAGGGGCGGATCCTCGCTTATCAACCAATTCGCTTAACCTAGTCGTAGGAATGGAACTCGGTCATTAAAGGAGGAGTGTCTGTATTAGGCTGAGAGCAGTGTGGCTCAGTGGGCTGTGCCTGTGATTGGACGGTCGCCGGTTTGAGCACCGCCTTGGCAGAACAGCCACGTCTCCGTTGGCTCCTGAGCAAGGCCGTTAAGCCCCAGGTCCAGCGGTGCCACAAGTGGCTGCCCTTCGCTGGGACCCGCAAGCTGGCTCTCATGCTGAGCAAGACGCGGTAACGCGAAAACGCACACAGATGTGCGAACACAAAAGAGAATTTCCCCATGGCGATTAATAAAGAATCGCTATTTTACGGAGCGAACCATATGGATGGGTGTGCGGGGGTCACCTCTAACAAGCTGCATGTGGATTTTTTTGCCTGCCCAGGCACAAACCATTCCCTTTGCCACTTTTTCAGTGATGGGTGTCTATACTAGTTGGAAAGGCTGTAAAATTACCGAGCTTTATTGACAATTAGCATAATGAAAAGGGGCTTCAACCTAATATTCACCAAAAAAAACCAAAATAAAGCCAAGATGGCACACCAGTTAAATACAAAACTACTGCTATTAGGGAAAACTTTATGTTATCGCTGTTAGATCATATTTTTTTTTAAAGCCCAATCACACCTTCTTAACCGCGTTGATTAGACAATAAATCAGGCAGGTAGGACAGGAGGAGGCTACTACGGGACCTGAAGCCGTAGTATGTTTCAGGGTCCGCCAGTTCCGGGAAGCGATGCCGCAGCTGGCTCTGCACCGTCTGCTTCTCGTACCACATCTTGCTGTCGATGCGGATGTCCCAGTGTTTGTTCACCACAATGAAGTCATTGCTCTGGTACAGCACGCGCAGGTTCTCCAGACTGGCTGCCTCCATGGCAACGTGCCACGAGACGCAGGGACGAAACTGTAAAACCATATAGTACAACAGGTAGTGTTCTGTTATAGCTATAAAGACAGACTGTTGCATGTCCAAGACGAAAACCTGCAAACTTAAACTGGCAAGTTCAGAAACTTCATATTCTAGTGGCAGCGGTGGCTTAATGGTTAGGGAAGCGCACTTGTAATTGAAAGATTGCTGGTTGGAATACCTGACCAGCAAAGTACCACTGAGGTACCCTGAGTAAGGTACCACCACCAAGCACTGCTCCCTGGGCGCTGAATTAGCTGCCCCCTGTTGTGTCACAATTTGAAATATGAGTTAAATGCAGAGTACACATTTCGTATAACTAATCACTTTCCTTTAACTGCTATGCTACCACACCCCTTTCCAAGAAACGCCTTCTGATTTCAGAGTCGCTATATCCTACGATTAATTAAAATGATAATAATTATAGAGACTTTCAGTCTTACAGATTTACACCACGCTATTCCCCTACAAAACAAAATCTGATTGACAAAGAAAGGGTCACACAAAAGGAGGACACTTAAAGGGCGAAAAAACTTCTACGATCATCTGTTACTGACGGAAAAATTGATCGCTCGGCGCATTGAAAAATACAGATCAGAAAACTAAGCATTATTAAAGTGTCATTCCTTTGGAGATCCAGAAACAGTAACGCGGCATTACCAGTCGCAGAAAATTAGTTAGCCAGAGAGCTAAAATCACACTCCAATTAGTACAAACTTTACGTTTTGAAACTTAGCTCGGGATGCATTTGCATATTTATTCAGAAAATGTGGCACAAACCTAGGTGCTGCTTCGCAGTTTATGATTCAACCCCGCTGTTTATTTCACAGGAGTCGACGTTGAAGACCACATTTTACCTGTCAGTGTACAAACACTACGTGTGGATCACGTGGTCCCTTACTGCGTAGTGTCTGCGGTGACAACATCATTAACCAATCAGAAGAGAACGCCGCGTCTCTCCTCCAATCAGATTGTTGAACCATTTCACTTTGACCCGGAAGGAAAGGCATACAATAATTTTTGCGCGAAATGTGAGAATAACTTTCTTATAACTGCGAGTTAAAAGAAAAGAAAAAGTGGTATAGTCCAGTAAAATCATTTTTTCATTTTGACCCATCTTATTAGCGCGAAAATGGACGAATATGATGAAATGTACGGTATAGAAGATGACTTTGAAAGTCAGTTTGCAGACGAATTGGAAGTGTTGGCGGAGATTGACAGTAAGGGGAGATTTTTCTGTTATCGTTTTCAGTCCATTTCAGAATGTCTTTATCAACTCTGTTTGATATATATTGTTTTGATAACCTGTTCAGTCACTTAATGGTTTGCATATGATTATTAAACTTCATTGTATGCCTTATGTGTGAAATTCTTGCACCTTGTCTGTTATGAATTAAAGTATTGTCATCTGTATTGTACGTTCTTTCCTGCTGTATGCACAAGAATTTCCTCCTGAGATAAATAACGTGTATCTAATCTAATGTAGTGTAATCTAATCTGATCTGATCGTTTCCTTTATTCCATATGCTGTCGTCAGAGTCCCTTTTCTGATTTTATTATCCCTTATTTCCCGTCTCTGTTTTCTGTAGCTGACTCTCGCCCCCTTCCAAAGAAGTCAGAACGCAGGACCAGGGTCCCAACCTCCTTTGAGGAAGCCCTCGCCTCCGGGGACTCAGTCCTGAGAACTCAGCCTGCTGTTAAGTCTCAGAAAGCTTCTCCTGATGACCTGGAGACATTGAACAAATGTGACAGTAGCTTACCTTCCAAAGTGTCGGAAAATGACTACCTGGAGAATTTGTTGGCCAGCGAGGGCTCTTTGAGTGAGTGCAAGCAGATTGAGAAGAAGAGAAGAGCAGTCTTTGCCTGTGTCTGCATTCACCGTTTTGTCTTTTCTCCACTTTCCAGCTCCCAAGGCTAAAAGGCAGAGGCAGGACGTGGTAAAAAAACTAAAGTTTGATTCTGCAGACGATGGGAAGGAAATCACCCCTCCCTCATCCCCTGAAGAGTATCCATCGGAGATCAGAAGGTAGGGAAAGTCGACACAGCCAGACGGCATGTTGGACTTTCATTGCTTAGGTTTGAGCTGTTGGTCTGGGATGTCACTTACAGCCAAAATTCCCATGGAGACAGCAGGACTCCGGCAGTGACGCCCGGCGCTCTAGACATCAGCGGTCTGGAGGTCCTGCAGGCCTCCCCCCAGAGGGCAGTCAGGGCGGCACAGCACATCCTCCACAGGCCACCCCCAGTCGGTGACTTCATCTCCGTCACGGGCTCCTCCGGTGACCGCGTGTACCTGGCGAAGAGGGAGGACGAGGATGCGGGGAGGGTGAGCGAGGAGTTAGCCGGGTGCCCAGAGCCTGCTGAGCACCCCGGCTGACCTGTATGTCTGTCTTTCTCCATGGCGGGCAGGCGTCGGATGGCCTGGCATTCCGGAGGTCTCAGTATAGCCTGGGGCTGCTGTCGGTGCCCATCGAGGTTCTGAAGGAGCAAGTAGCAGAAAGGGTGGGTCTCCTCCCGTAAACGTTCCTGACACACGCACCCCTGTACACACACCCTCCATTCCTCTCTGTTCCCTTTCCAGTTCCATGGCTGATGGGTCTGCCGTTGGCCTGCACTGTACCTCAGTGCTGTCACACTTTGTTTAAATGTTTACGTTCTCCCTGCAGCGACATCAGCAATTGGTGGAGGAGTCGCAGCGCCTGACCAAAATGCTGAACAGGTGATTCTCCGACACCCAACCCAACCCCCCCCCCCTCCACTGTGTCTTCCCCTGTCCTGATGTGCTTCTTGCTTTTGTTTTTTTTCTCTTCTGTTCTCCAGCCAGGTAGATCAGGAGTTTGGGGAAATGGACTCTGAGGAGCCCGCTGAAGGAAAGGGGGCACAAGATGAAGGTGGCAAGGATGCAGCGTCGCGGCTTTGGGTGGACAAGTACTCACCTGCACACTACACAGAGCTGCTGAGCGACGACGTGAGTGTGTGTGTGTGTGTGTGTGTGTGTGTGTGTGTGTGTGTTTATGTGTGTGTGTCAGGAGGACGTGTCTGCACACACGTGTGTCTGAGCCCCTGTAACTTTGTGCCCCTAGTTCACCAACCGCTGCTTGCTGAAATGGCTGAAGCTGTGGGACATGGTTGTGTTTGGCCGGGAGAAGTCCACCCAGAAGCCCCGACCCACTCACACAGACAGCCGGACACAGGTGCAGTGCTGCTTGGGGACTCAAACTCCTGCACTGGAAGCGTTGTGGGTCCAGATCCCGGGAAGGAGCTCTGCCTATAGGGGCTTCGGTGCTCTTATGGAAAACTGAACCACTAGTATAAAAATGTGAAATTGCAGTGACATACGTTCACCTGCAGAAGGACCAGCAAACCTCCCGGTTCAAGACTAAGACCCAGATGACGGAGGAGATTCTGGAGGCCGAACTGGACCAGTATCACCGCCCCAAATACAAGGTGTGCCAGGCTGAGGGCTGTCAGCAGATTTGAGGTCATGTCTGTGGGCAGTTGGTCTCTATGGGTGGATGGTGAAATCCCTTATTTGTCTGTAGGTGGCGCTGCTGTCAGGGCCCCCTGGCCTGGGGAAGACCACTCTGGCACACGTTATCGCAAGGCATGCTGGGTACAACGTGGTGGAGATGAATGCTAGGTAGCTACTCTCACTCGTTTTATTAGTTGGACTTTGCCAGTGTGTTTCTCACCATGATGCTGGCTATTTTGCACACAGGATATCAAATTTATTTTACGGCTAATGACCCCTGTGCTATTTTGTATAGACACTTGGCTTTTAAACATGGTGGCTGACTTGGAAGATGACCGTGTTTCTGTGTGTATGCGTTCCTAGCGATGATCGCAGCGCCGAGCTCTTCCAGAAACGAATCGACACGGCCACACAGATGAAGTCTGTGCTGGGGGCCAATGAGAGGCCCAACTGCCTGGTGATCGACGAGATCGACGGCGCCCCCTCTGTGAGTCCCTGCCAGGGACAGCTCCGGCCCAGCTCTCTCCCTGCTCCTATTATGTTTAGCCACCAGAGGGCGCACTAGTAAAAGAACCCAATATTGCAGGCTCAGATTTTCAAAGGGATGCTATGAGTTTAAGAAATATTTATTTCAGACTTTTTATGCCCGCCCCCCCCCCCCCCAGGCTGCTATCAATGTGCTCCTGGCCATCATGAACCGAAAGGAGACCCGGGACACGGAACCAGTGGCCGGTGGTGGCATCTCGAGCGCACTCAAGAAGAAGAAGAAGGAGTCCATTCTGATGAGGCCCATTATCTGCATCTGCAATGACCTGTAGGTGGCACTGTGGCTTCCATAGGGCTGAAGAGAATCCTTTCTGAATAGGGCTCCGTCTGTTATTCCCAGCGGCCTGTTTTTGCCTGTTCGTTCGGTCAGTGTTCTGGCGACAGGTCCGGCTGAGCAGGATGCTTTAGTGTTCTGCTCCGCTTGGTCTCCCGCAGGTACGTTCCGGCTCTCCGGCAGCTTCGGCAGCAAGCCTTCCTCCTGAGCTTCCCCCTGACGCAGCCCTCGCGGCTGGTCCAGAGGCTGGTCGAGGTAGCATGAGACACACACACACACACACACACACGCATGGCGAGTCACACGCGTGGCGCACCGCTAAGCAGGGCCTCTGGCATATGTGCAGATCTCCAGGTGTCAGGGCATGAGGGTGGATACAGGCGCACTGATGGCTCTCTGTGAGAAGACTGAAAACGACATTCGCTCCTGCATCAACACCCTTCAGGTGGGCTGCCCTGCCCCTGCCCTTGTCCCGCCCCCATCCTGCTCTGGCTCCTCCCACTCCTGGCTCAGCTGTCTCCCATACGCCCCCTCTCCCTGCTGTGCCCCTCTAGTTGGGGAGGTCAATTAAAACCCAGTGTTCCTACTCTTACTTCGTCTTGAGATGAGACTGTTATTAGGCCGCGCTCCCCGGAGCGGCCAGTAGAGGGGGTCGCCCATGTGTGAGCTAAGTGGTGTCTCTGTGAGCAGTTCCTTCACGGCCGAGGGCAGCGGCAGCTGGACCAGCGCACTGTGCAGTCCGTCCAGGTGGGTCTGAAAGACCAGAACAAGGGGCTGTTCTCCATATGGCAGGAGATCTTCCAGCTGCCCAGGACCAAAAGGTACCCTGTTTGCAGGGGGGGGGGGCATCCAGACTCACCAGTGACCCCAGCCACTGTATGGACCTGGACTTTAACACTAATTTGTCCGCCTGTTAATCCATGTGTTGTACTACACGTCCCATGGTACGTTGTGTCTGCCAGCCGCGTGTCACCCCGCCTGCGTGCTGTTGCAGGAAGCGGGTTGGTGATGACCTGTTTGCGGTGGTGCCGGACGGCGGGCTGGGCAGCGCGGGGGCCCAGAGGTTGCAGCACATCCTGCACCTGGCCACATCCTGCGGAGAGCACGAGAAGCTCACAAACGTATGGCATGTTCCTCACACTCAGACCACTTCCTCACCTTCCTGTTCCCTCCTTCTCTGTTCTTGTACAACTCAGGCTCAGTGATCTAAGCTTCCTGTTCCCCTCTTTCCTCCAACTTTCTCTTCATCCCTCTCTCCTCCAACCTCTTTTCCTCTCCCTTTCTCTCTATTCCTATTCCTTTCTCTCTTCCCCCCCCCTCTTTTTTCCTCCTCTCTCCCCTCCCTGTCTTCCTATTCCTCTCTTCCTCCCACACTCTCTTCCTCTGTCCCTCCTCCTCTCCGTCTTCTTTCATATATTTCTCACCTTCTCTCTCCCTCTCCCCCTCTCTCTTTATTCCCCCTCTCCTTGCCCTCCACTTCTCTCCCCTCCTTCTCCCCCACCCCCAGGGTCTCTATGATAACTTCCTGAGCATGAAGCTGAAGGACTCCAGCCTGCAGGCCGTCTGCATGGCCCTCGACTGGCTCGCCTTCTCCGACCTGCTGGGCGAGGCTGTCATGCA